TTACCACACTTAGAAAAGCATAGGATGGCGGCCATCTTGGATTCAAGATCGCGCCCAGTGAAATTTGTTATTTTTAATAACTAGACTCCAAGACGTCGTAGAGACATAATTTTGGTGTCTAACCCACATTTTCGATAGTGGGAGACAGAATTATGACACTTAGAAAGCATAGGATGGCGGCCATCTTTTATTTCAACATGGTGGTATGTTACTCCATTATTACAACAGTCATAAGCCAACATAAATACAATATATAAGCATACCAGAATTGTCAGAATATGTTGTTTAAACAGTCACACCCAAGAACATTGTTATGGTTCATGCAGCCATAATTGCATTTGCACGCACCGTGGCGTAATTGGGTTCTCCATTATCGAAAATGTGGGTATAGCCACCAACATTATGTCTCTACGACGTCTGAGAGTCCAGATATTTCAGAAAATCCATTTTCCCTGGCGGTCATTTTGGATTTCAAGATGGCCGCCACAATACGCAAAAGTCAGCCTGGAAACATACCCAGTGAAACTCCCCAAGTATCATAGAAATGATATTTACCCGTTTCCAGCCTCTACCCAAAAAGTTTAGGTACATCTTTATTTTAACTCTTTTTGAAATCTGCCCCCTGACTATAACTGCGGACGACTTACTACTCTGTCTTCTAGAAGGCAGAGGAATGCTTCATTGTACGGTCGTGTCACGAGGTGCCGGTAGGTAGCAGCACAGGACAGGTGGTCCTTTCCATTGTAGATGTTCCTATTGATATTGTAAACCGACTCCCAATCGTCTTCGCGAGCTCTGCGAACCCTGACAGATGCGATTAAACTATATTAAATATTATTAATTAAATAGATCGGCACTAGATATACAGCAAGCTGTTTGAAAGGTACGCTGGAATTTATTCCGTATAAGTCCTCTTGGGTTCCCTATATGTTGAGTTTGTACAACACAAATCTTTTCAGTGTTTTGGATCTTCCTTCCGAATCCTTCGTCTCCTGATACAGGGAAAATTGTGATATCGTCAACCGATCGACGCGCATTCTTTGCCGGAACATTCAACGCACGTGTAGTAAACTGAGCTGTAATCTAGATTACGCTGATCGCGTTACTACAAATTTCTCTCGTGTCTAACTATAGTCGAACCGATCAAGTCTATCTCGTGAAACACAGATGCGCTCGTTTCGAGTGTTCTCATGATCAGTCAGTAATGAGCTGACGGTAATGGGTATATAGCATTATGGCATACAATATAATACACTATATTATAGACTGGGTGTATAGCCTACACGCACCTGATGGTCTTCATCGCTGCATGAGCTGGGGAGATCACCGTGCGCTGTAGGTTCGCTCCCTGCCGCCAGGCGGCGCTCAGCAGACGGCGACCAATCGATGGTAATCCCATTCTACGTCATCAGAGAGACATTAATGACGCTGGATGCCACTTACGCGAGTTTCATCGACGGAATTCTATCCCATACGAAATGGATATGCACGCTGTTGATTAGGTGCAAAGCGGACCTATATGCCTATAGATATATTCAAGAGCTAATAATACTGTTGTGCTTCGATAAGCGTTGAACCTCAGGAATATACTACATACAACAGCCTAGGTGACCATCTCGTCTCGTTCGGACGAGGCGCCGAGGCGCGGTCACGCCCCGTCGCGCGAGGCGGCCGCCATGCAGACGCAGCAGCGTCTTGTCTCGCACCCGGTCAGCGACGACACGCACGCGGGGCAGCATGTCTCGCCCGAGCCCTGCCGCGACGCGAGGCACCCGGGGTCGAGTCGCCGTGGCCGGCCTTCACCGTCGCGAGACAGCATCCGGGAGGAGCGGGAGTACGACGGGAGCAGCTCGAGTGACAGCAGGGGAAGCGACGCTGCGTCGGAGAGGCGGCGGAGTGCGCGCGGCAGGGAGCGGGCGGGTGCGGCGGCCGCACGCGAGAACGTGCTGGACATCGATAGACTGAAAGAACTGCCGAAGTTGTTTTAAATTTGGTCGCGTGTGAGCTGGCATGTTGATGCTAAGGTGCTAGTGTACATGTGGTCTAAATGTTGTTTGTAAAGCTTTATGAGCGTTTATCTAGCTAGTTAGAGCGAGTGTGATTATTTTACTTGTATATTATTGATGTTGATTTTGTGAAATTTCGACCACTCTTTAGATTGCTATGTCTTTTGATGTGTGTAAATGTTCTTGATTTTATAATTGTATTTGAACGCATTATGAAATAAAAATGTGTTGATTTTAGTAATTGTAATACTAAAGAATGTCTATCATATAAGACCATATATTATCTTTTAAATTACAGATGTTATTTTAAGTATAGGCCTGTAAATTTTATTTCTGTAAAATATTTTTGTTCATAGAATATAAACTGTATCAAAACTAACATTACTGATTTGTTTTTGGTTGATTATTATTAATAGTATTATATATATCGGGGATTCTATATCCTGTATACCCACACACCCAGAGCCGTGCGCGTTATTTAAAAGTCGCGCAGGCCAAACGTGTTAATCGATAGCTTGTATAAAGTTGGTTAGTTAGCATGAAGGTTATATTATTATAAAGAGAAATATGTATGTGCGTGTGAGTGTGTGTGGGTGCGCGTGTGTATAAGTGTGCGTGCGTGTATGAGAGTCGTAACATTTGTCAGAAACGTTGTCAGAAACATAACCTTTATCATTGTCACAACTACTTGTCTTTATGATAAATTATAACGCCCCCCCTCCGTTGTCGATATGACTCAGCGCATGCGCAGTGCTCCCGGCTCCCACTGCCACGTCACCGGGTTCGATTGCGCGTCGCGTTTTATACTCTCTGCGAAATCTCTCGCGTCAACGGCCGCTATCAGCTGGTACTGCCCGCCGCCTCTCCCGACATCACTCTCCTGCAAGCCCGCCTCGCCGACAGCACGGAACACGTCGGCTCTGACGTCACGCAAACGCGCGTCGGCGCAGACGACGAAGGCGACGCTCTTGCCGTCAAAGATGGCGGCGGCCAGCCGCGCGTGCCTAGCGACGTGCGACCTTGCCGCCGCCGCGTCCCTCGCGTACACGTCGATCTTGTACCGGACCCGGAAGTCGTCTGCGAGCGGGAAGGCCGTACCGAAGCTGAGCGACGCGTAGCCGTCGTCGGCGAGCACGTACGGGTTTTCGTTGTCGACGACAATCGCGTGCACGTCGGCCGCTCGTCGGTACGGCATCAGGTCGACGAGAATGACGTCGTCGGGGAAGAGACGTCTGCCGACGTGCGGTGACGTCAGCGCATATTTCGCCTCGTCATCGTTCAGCCAGCGCAGAGTGTTGACGTCGTATTTTTCGAGTGCCGAACTTACGGCCTCGACGCCGCTGTGGTCTATGGCGTTGTAGGACACCCGCGGCTGGAAGGTGAAGGATGCGAGACACTGTCACTGAGAAACTGTGAGGAGAAGTGAGGGAGGGGGCTCCTCTCCACCTCTCATCATAGAGCAGGCGTTCTCATCGGCATGGTGGGAGGGCAAAATCTCTTGTGCATTTTTGGTATTTCACAAGAAAGTCTTCCCTAGTGTTATCTGATAAGTTTTCTAATGAACTTTGACCTAATAACATAATTTCGTTATAGTCTCACAATGGCGATACCAACCTTCGTTATTGCTATGGTGTAGTCTCCGTATGGACACGGACAGATCTTTGGTCCCGTGAGAAGTTTCACATACATTATCTCCTGTATAGACGGATGATTTAATATTGCCTCTCCCAGCGCACTTGAAAGCATGGATCCGATTCCCTTTCCCTGAAATTCGGGATGAATTCGATGGAAGCGACCGACCGCCGTCCTTCCGCGATTTAACATGGTCGCCATCGCGAATCCTAGCTGAAAATGAAACTGTTGCTTTTTTTCCTGCTGATTGTAAAACTACGAACATCTGAGATGCATATTTCTATAGAAAGTAGACGTTAAAGAGCTAGTATATATGACAAACTTTTTTATGCTTACTTCCTTAAAACCCGAGAGTATATTCTTCAGTGGTACGCAGCTACGAAACTTAATTTTTTTAGCTGCGTACCAAATAACCTTCGTGTATATAAGTAACACTTATTTAGCCACGCAGTATGTGACAACGCTTGCAAAAGCTTTCACGCCCAAATCGCAAGGCAGTGAGACGACGTAATAGTCAGGGGGCAGATATCCAAAATAAGGATGACCCTAAACTTTTTAGGTAGAGGCTGGAAACGGGTAAATATCATTTCTATAATACTTGGGGAGTTTCACTGGGTATGTTTCTAGGCTGACTTTTGCGTTTTGTGGCGGCCATCTTGAAATCCAAAATGACTGCCAGCGAAAATGTATTTTCTGAAATATCTGGACTCCCAGACGTCGTAGAGACATAATGTTGGTGGCTATACCCACATTTTCGATAGTGGAGAACCAAATTATCACACTTAGAGAAACATAGGATGGCGGCCATAATGGATTTCAAGATCGCAGCCAGTGAAATTTGTTTATTTTGAATAACTAGACTCCAAGACATCGTAGAGACATCATTTTGGTGTCTATACCCACATTTCGGATAGTGGAGAACCCAGTTATGACACTTAGAAAAGCATAGGATGGAGGTCATCTTGGATTTCAAGATGGCCGCTAATGAAATTGGTTTATTTTGTTTGAATAACTAAAATCCTAAATATCGCAGAGGCATAATTTTGGTGTCTTCACCCACATTTTCATGACGCCATAGGTCTCATCCTGAGTGTGGACCTTGTAGCAACAGGGCTTTAGCGGAACATTTACGGTAATCCCAGATAACATGCTGACGTTGGGCCAACGTTGGGCCAACGGCTGTCTTCAGCTCTTGCTAACGTTGGGCCAACGGCTGTCTTCAGCTCTTGCTAACGTTGAGCCAACGTTGGCTGCCTGCCGTTGGGCCAACGTTGGCAATATGACGTTGGCCCAACGTCATATTGCTAACGTTGGCCCAACGGCAGACAGCCAACGTTGATCCAACGTCTTTTTGCTCAGCGTGCCAACGTTGGGCCCAACGTTGGCAGCCAACATTGGCCCAACGTTGGCCCAACGGCCGTCAGCCAACGTTGGCCCAACGTCATATTGCCAACGTTGCGCCACGGTGCGTGCAAATGCAATTATGGCTGCATGAACCCATACACAATGTTCTTGGGTGTGACTGTTTAAAACAACATATTCTGACAATTCTGGTATGCTTATATATGTATTTATGTTGGCTATGACTGTTGTATTAATGGAGTAACATACCACCATGTTGAAATAAAAGATGGCCGCCATCCTATGCTTTTCTAAGTGTCATAATTCTGTTCCCACTATCGAAAATGTGGGTTAGACACCAAAATTATGTCTCTACGACGTCTTGGAGTCTAGTTATTAAAAATAACAAATTTCACTGGCGCGATCTTGAATCCAAGATGGCCGCCCATCCTATGCTTTTCTAAGTGTGGTAATTGGGTTCTCCATTATCCGAAAATGTGGTATAGCCACCAACATTATGTCTCTACGACGTCTGAGAGTCCAGATATTTCAGAAAATCCATTTTCCCTGGCGGTCATTTTGGATTCAAGATGCCGCCACAATACGCAAAGTCAGCCTGGAAACATACCCAGTGAAACTCCCCAAGTATCATAGAAATGATATTTACCGTTTCCAGCCTCTACCCAAAAGTTAGACGACATCTTTATTTTAACTCTTTTTGAAATCTGCCCCCTGACTATAACTGCGACGACTTACTACTCTGTCTTAGAAGGCAGAGGAATGCTTCATTGTACGGTCGTGTCACGAGGGCCGGTAGGTAGCAGCACAGGACAGGTGGTCCTTTCCATTGTAGATGTTCCTATTGATATTGTAACCGACTCCCAATCGTCTTCGCGAGCTCTCGAACCTGACAGATGCGATTAACTATATTAAATATTATTAATTAAATAGATCGGCATAGATATACAGCAAGACTGTTTGAAAGGTACGCTGGAATTTATTCCGTATAAGTCCTCTTGGGTTCCCTATATGTTGAGTTTGTACAACACACAATCTTTCAGTGTTTTGGATCTTCCTTCGCGAATCCTTCGTCTCCTGATACAGAGAAAATTGTGATATCGTCAACCGATCAGACGCGCATTCTTTGCCGGAACATTCAACGCACGTGTAGTAAACTGAGCTGTAATCTAAGATTACGCTGATCGCGTTACTACAAATTTCTCTCGTGTCTAACTATAGTCGAACCGATCAAGTCTATCTCGTGAAACACAGATGCGCTCGTTTCGAGTGTTCTCATGATCAGTCAGTAATGAGCTGACGGTAATGGGTATAAGCATTATGGCATACAATATAATACCACTATATTATAGGACTGGGTGTATAGCCTACAGCGCACCTGATGGTCTTCATCGCTGCATGAGCTGGGAGATCACCGTGCGCTGTAGGTTCGCTCCTGCCGCCAGCGGCGCTCAGCAGACGGCGACAATCGATGGTAATCCCATTCTAACGGTCATCAGAGAGACATTAATGACGCTGGATGCCACTTACGCGAGTTTCATCGACGGAATTCTATCCCCATACGAAATGGATATCACGCTGTGATTAGGTGCAAAGCGGACCTATATCCTATAGATATATTCAAGACTAATAATACTGTTGTGCTTCGATAAGCGTTGAACCTCAGGAATATACTACATACAACAGCCTAGGTGACCATCTCGTCTCGTCCTCGTTCTTTCTTTCCGTATCTTCATCACTCGATTCAGGGGCGTAGATAGCGGGGGGGGGATGCATCCCCCCCCACTTATTGACGTGGGGGATGGCGTGTACAATTACACCCCCCCTACTTTCAGGAGGAAAAGGGGGGGGATTCTAAATTTTCTGGGGAGGACCCGCATACCCCCGCCTGTTTCTTACCACCTTCCTCGAAAACCTGCATTGGCCACTGTCGAGCGTAACAAATTGAGCACCCCCTCTTCAAAAATCGTTCTGCGCCGCCTGTAGAGTATGCTAACAAAGATTATGATTATGATATATTGTATGCATATCAAAGGTCAAATTTGAGTTCATCTGACAGGGGCGTAGATAGCGGGGGGATGGGGGTATACCCCCCCCCACACACGTATTGAGGTGGGTGGCTTTCATCCCCCCTACTTTCAGGAAGAAAATGGGAAAAAATTTAATATTTTTACAGAATAAATACTGATATTTATCTACAAATCCGTCATCGCTATTCATACTCTCCTAATGTATTATTACAGAAATGGAACGTGACATACATCTACGTAAAATGGCTGTAACTCGTTCCAAGAATGACATTATTTTACTGAAACTCAGACGGTTAATTTTGGACGCATTCCCCATATACGATTTTTTTTCAAAATCCCCAAAGTCTTATCACTGTTCACGAACTTGCTTTATTCAAAATTAGAATAGACCTATTGAGAGTTGGGATATTGAATTTTCACGGGGATTGAATGGGAAAATTCAATTTCATCTAATTTTTTTGGGGGGATGGGGATGCTGTAACCCGACCGGAAGTATATTCCCGATTATGTATAAGGGGTGAAAATATGCACTTTTTGGTTCAAATCTGGTTGTTTTTCTCATATTGTGAAGTTTTAACGTTCTCAGTAAAATATACGTTTTATCAAAATTTCAGGGGGAGATGATTCCAGTGCTGTAGTTGTCAACGTGAGGTCGGTAGCACAGGGCGGTCGCCCCCCCCCCCCTAAATTTTCAGGGCCAAAGGAATTTTAGCCTAGGTAAGTCTTGACTGGTAACCCAGTGAGGACATGTAGGCCATAGCACAGATTTGGTAGTTACGTATTTTAGTCTTTCGTGTCCCAAAGGTAAAAATACTCAACTCAACAGTGATGTTATTGTGATGAAGATTGTTTAATAGTGCTGCCTCATAGTGCAGGAAATTTCATCGAAGAGGTGTTACTTTCAACAAAATCCCCGACCACCTAAACAGGAGGGACACGCCCTGAGGAGGAAAAATCCTGATATTTTATGATAAAGATGTCCAAAATTGATTATTTAGATTGCAACTTTTAACAATTCCACACAGTGGGAGGCGACACCCCTCCAAACCCCCCCCGGCCGCTTCGTGCCCTAGAATTTTCTTCTGGATCCGCCACTGGTTGTGTTGTGTGTGGGGGGTGCGTGGTAT